AAATCTCACATCACTCAATCTGCTACACATCTAATACATTGACAACGGGTCAGTCACCTTATTCCGTAGTCTGATAATTCTGATATTCATCATTACAAACGTTACATCAATCATTCCAAAAGGTTGTCTGCAGATCCTCTAGAAACTAACAAGGGTTTCAGTCAAAGTGAGCTTCAGATCGAGCCAGGGCATTGCAAAAGCGAGTTTCGGAATAGAGAGCATCGGCCGAAAGGGAGCTTCGGCCAAAAGTGTGAAGAGATTCGGGACAGAGAGCATCCGCTTTTTCTTTGACCAATTGGGTCCTTGTTGATTTAGTCAGATTTGACTCACATCTCCATGTGAACTATGATGTTGTCTTCAACTGGAGCTTCAATGATGATGCATAACAACAAGTGTTCAATACAAATCTTTATTGCTACCTTTAGAGTTGCTTTCAGCAGTTGCCATGGCAATGGGAATGGCAACAACAATGACAATGATGAGGATAACGAGAATGGACCTCATTTGTATACTGTCGAAAACTTTACGAGATGTACGGTTCTGTACAATCTTGATTTACTTATTTTTGCTAGCAGAATGTAATTTTTATACTGGAAAATACCTTCAGATCCTAAAAAATTGAATTTTTCAATCAATCTGATGAAGGTAAACTGTACACAGGATGATTGCTGACCAGGACCATTTCCAGAGATTCATATCTGTCCTATTACTTGTATATTTTATTAAAACAAGGAACCTGGAAAAATTAACCTAATACTAATTTAATTCAGCTTCTAGGCAATATACAGACCGCCAGAGATTTAGCCGGCAATGCATTGACAGGATTTTCTTTGTATACTTACTTTGCTAGGCATCATTTTCAGCTCAAAATAATTAATATATTACGGATAAAATGTCAAAATGGCCAGCCTAATTATCCATTTGGAAGTTAGTTCCACTTCTAACACAGTATCTTGTTCTTGCCATTGCCAAAATTTTCATCAGCCATAAACCTTCTCTCTTTCGGGTCTTTCAGTTTTCCTCCTCAAATTTCGATGTTTTACTGGTATTATTGGGATGACTTATTGTAGAACCCAAGTTTTGAATTGAAGATCGAAGCATAGAATCTTTTCCATCCTATAAAAACCGAGGTACTGATTTAACATCTTAATTTTAGGTAAATGAGTGATCAATTATGAAACCATTAATAACTGAAGTGACTTAGAAAGTAAGAGAAATACTTTAATGACCAATTTGAAATTTTGCATAAACTTCAGTGGACATTAGTGAAATTAACTAAGCTACTGCTTTACATTAAGATGAGGAGGAAATAAATAGAAGATGAGTGCCACTCTTAAAACTCATTCGCATTCAAATCATGAATATTTACAATTCAAATTATGCAATGAGACATTGCTTTTTCTAGAGGGACATTTTGACCAATCACAAACGGTAAGAGTCAAGTCGTCAAGACTGTTCCACTATAAAATCTATCATCAAAGTAATATTTTTTATTGATATCAACCTATAATGTAGCTTGCAAACTCATGTCGATAAATAAAATTTGCATTAATATGTATACCAAAAACTAATTTGTTTGGTAAATGGTTGAAAAAATAACTATATGCACATTATTTTTTAAGTAAAATTAAAATTATAATACTGAAAATGGATACATAATTCCCACCCATCGAGCTCCCTTTTGCCTTTGCACTCAAGAGTCAATCTTCGTCCGGCCCTCATCCTCGGAGCTACCTCCAAATGAGAATATAAACTAGACTATGCCCCTGTTTGTTGTAGATTACAATCAAATGTTTAACAGATTTTGATAAAAGTTTATTAAATGTGAGGTTGATCAACCAGAAACTCAACATCTCCATTTTTCTTAGATTTTATTGGGCAGCTCGTGAGCTAGTGAGTTGCTTATAGGTAAAAACGAATCAATTTAGTTAGTCCTTTATGGCTCGGCTCCGATCAACGCAATATTACTTCAAAAGAAAGTCATGTTTTAAATATTGAATTTTCCATTATTTAAATCATGTATCTCTGTCAGTTGTGGTAGCTCTATAACGGAAATGTTCTGTAGTAGAGCTTCACTAGCATTTTCGAGGTTTTTATTTATAAACAATATCAAGAGTGTAATAAAATACTTAAAACTACATATTAATTCATAAATTACAAACATAATGAGAAAATGTGTAAAATGACAATTGTGAGGGCTTTGGCTTATTCATAACTACTAAATGTTGGCCATTGCAATATGCGCACATCCAACTACTTGCAAAGATTTGAAATTGTCGAGTTTTCATCCGTTAACGATATATTTGATAAGAATGATGAAATAGTATTAGACGATATAAAAATAATATATTACAAGACCTCCCCTTAGGTTCATGATGTTAACATAGACGCTCCCTCCATTTTTAGAATTTTTAGAAACCTTCCATCTTAGCATAAATTTCTTATTTTGTTATTCTATCTTTATGCTATATATATGTTATATTTACTTTATTAATTGTTTTTCTTATCTTAAATTTAGACAAAAATATATTGTTTTAATTTAATTTATTTATTTATTTTATCTTTTTGTATAGTGATTTCATTTTAATCATATTTTTGTGTGTATTGATCCTTCATTAAAACTGAAAAATTAAAATTGCTATAAAATATTTACTACAAAAATGAACTAAAAAGAAATCTAAGGCTCTAAGCTATAAACTTTTTGTGTCAATTCTTTTGTATATTTATTTTATGATGATATTACTTTTGTTTTCATAGATAATGGAATTAGTGGACCCAACATTCTAATAGTTAATTACAAGAAAATAATATGTATCATTTTTATTTTATTTTACTCTATCTAGATAAAAACAAAAAATAGTATCGATAATACAAATTTAGGTTACTTGAGGTCCATGGTCGTCATGAGTAATACTTTTTATCAATCACGATATTTAAACACTACTCGTCTAAGTAGAGCACTAACGTGACATTAAATAAGATGTACAAATAAATGAATAATTTAATTCTATTTTTCATTAAACTTACATAGCACCACCTAAACTAATATTATAGTATTATTTGATTGTCACTCATGACATAGTATTTTCACTCATTGCCACCTGACGGCCTTTGAATTTTCTTTTCTTTTGTTTAATGCTTATTTATTTAGTCCTTTGATTATTTTAATATTTTCATGAAAACATATAAAAAGTGTAAGATCTTATTTTTTTAAGGAAAACATGTTTTACAATTTTCTTTGTTGACAAGAGTGTACAAATTCCTAGCACATATTTACTTGTATATTGGATTAACCACATTGTAGATTCATAGTAAAATCGTATAAGCCGAACTCTTGATAATTTCGAACTCTAATCCATGTTGCCCTTTAGAATTGTCCGGTGTTGCCCATTATCCTCTATGCCAAACTCACCTAAATGAGGTAGAAAACACAGAGACGTTAGGGACGTGCCCAAAGCAGAGAGAGAAGGGACCTGGTCACCGTTCCTGAACATAGGTAAGACTTGGAGCAAGTCCTTTCTTTAATATTTTAGATTTATAGAACAAAAAGTAGATGTTAAGTATACTAGTAAAGAGGTTGTAATATAAGTTCCTTGCCAAGCGGGCAGGGGAGGATCCAGCACCTGGCCAGCCCCTACGGCCACCCCTACTGGATCCGCTGGGAGCTTCACCAAATCGCCAGCTCGTCGTCCGCCGGGAAGATGAAATGAAGAAGAAGAGGCTGTGATTTCTTTTTTTCCCCCTTATTGTTTGGGCTTTTATTTTAAAACATAAGACCCAATGTAATGAAGAATGAGCCTAAACACTTTTGCCCATTAAATTGCAAGTCCATTACATTAACCCACAACAAAACGAAATCCAATTTGCTCACCGACATAGAAGGGAGACGAGAGGCGACAGGGGCGAAGCGGCTGTGACTGTGACGGCAACGCCTTACGCTTGGACTGGTCTGGATGGTGGTACTGACTGGTGAGTGGTGGACGCACGCCTTCTCGCCATCTGGTAGTGGCTGGACTCTGGAGGGGTGGAGCTTGGAGCTTCGTTTGCCGACTACGCCTCTAGTCAGGAGATTGATTGGGGCATGGGGGAAAAAGTATTTGCTCAAAAATCTTGCTTGAAATCAATATTGCTAATTGGTTTGGCTAGTTGCTATAATGTCATGAATTTGTGATTTTAGTTTTTTTTGTTTTTTGTTTTTGTGAATTTGTGATTTATGAATTATGAGAAATGTGAATTTATGTTATATTATTGTCTGAAACTATGAGTTATGACTTATAATTTTGATTTGTGATAGTGAATTGTGATTTGAAAATTTAGGTTTTTATGAAACTTAGGGATAAGTGAAAAAAACTTTGGAAAACTTAGTGCATTTACTTATGTATTGGATTTTATTTTCGGCTATTACGATCGTTCATCAGTCAATGGTTTTCTCCCTAATTGAACAAAAATGTTGAATTCGCCCCTGCAAGCGGGCGACCTTGATCCCCTCCCTAGGACGAGGACCATATTCCTTGTCCCACCCAGTGCCCAACCTACGGAAAATTCACCTGCACTACCCCCTATACCACATTTAAGCAAGAATCGAGCCAGTCGACTATTTTGCATCCCTAGTTACAAGCATACTTATTCCCTATATTCCAGTTTGCAAAACAGTGAACATGCAAACATGATATTTTATATCTAGTAAAGAAGAGAAGGGACCCAAAAAAAAAAAAAAAAATACATCTTCTATCAATATCCTGCAAGAGAGGGATGTTTCCAATTGAACCAATGTCTCTATCACTAGAATTTTAAACATCAAATTACTCCATGAAATACAGCAAAACTTATAATCATGAAATATCATATTTATTCCATATTTACAAAATTCAATTTTCAACAATTTCTTTGAAGCTTCCACCAGCGCATTACTTTCATTTAGTTTTATCAAACAGACGTAATCACATACAAGAAAGAAGTAATCTAAATATGTCCATAGGTTCAGCGATCGAGACATTAAATCACGCGGGTAAAGCAAAGCTCTCTTGTGTCCACTGTGGAGGATCCATCACCAGACAAGGATCAGACTTTTCAAAATCAGCAACCTAACATTGAGAGCAAAAAATATTAAGTTGATGTACATTCTAGACATGGAATATGAGAGTGAATAACAAAATAAGGTAGAGAAATAAGGTTACCTTCTCATTGCAGCTTGGGCAATAATGATATTTGTGCCATAGGCAATCCATTGAAGGGCATAGAAAGCAGACTCCAAGCATCATTGGCATCATACAACCAACAAAGGCCGCTAAACCGGGTTTATGTCTGATGAAGAAGCAAAGGTAATTAAAATAAAAAATATATACATCCCGTGAAAAATATATACGTGGAAAATAAAATGGTTTTGTAAGACGTTAAAGTAGAGTACAATCTTACATCATCTGGCAATTTGAGCCTTTACCACATACATTCAATAAAATCACTGCATTTAATTGACTATATTCTGATTAATTATCTATAGTGGTTCATGTCTTCTATCCAATAGAAGGAAGTCATTGATGATTTGAGGAGCATTCAATGTCCTAAGCAGAAACAATGTAGGAAACATCGAATGTAAGAAAGTTCTTGGCCTCCTCACATTTAGGAACTTTCTGGACATAATTCACGGTAAAGAAACACCATATCAAAAGTTTTAAAGAACAAATCCAATGCCATTACAAGCTTCAAAACGATCTAACTTTCATGCTTCAGAAAAACAAAATTCCAGATACCATCATAAATATCAAGCTATAATATCATTACTACAGCAGCTTGGCCATTCATGAACATTACAAAGCCGGTATCATGTTGTTTTCACTCGACTCGACTCGACTCCCAAATATTGGATGTATGAATATCAAAAAAGACTTCAAAGCATACAGACAACTCAGTTTCTTTCTGGAACATTGATTTAGTTTATATAAACGAGAAACAGTGGGGGAAAGAAAGTAGCTAAATCAGCACATCACAGTATTGTGTTTCCTCTTGAAATTTTCAGCTAAAAAACAACACTGACACTATTAGAAGCATAATTTTGCAACTAAAGTTCCTTCATGGCACATTATATTTCTCAATCCTTTCATCAATGAATGGCCAATGAATAGCCACTGCAGAGTTTCGGCTACCCACCATACTCCATCCATCAACATTCAACACTAAAAAGTTAAATCAATACAAGTACAAACTCTAAAAACCAATTTTTTACACCACTGCTACACAATTACATTGGTCGCGCTTCATTAAAACTTCTCACTCCTTCTCAATTTGATACTGTTAAACACAATTATTCCCAACATTTTGGAACTGGAAACCAGAACTCTACAATACATAAAATAGAAAACCTTATTCTCGACTATTTGAAACCCCAATAGACACAATTCGCATACTTTATACCAAACTAAAATCCAACCTCTTCCCAGAAGAAAAAAGACATATACTTTTGGTACAATTAAAAACTAAAAATAGATAATAAAAGAAAAGGGAGTTAAGAAATTTACTTGACAGAGGTGATTCCAGTATTACCACAGTGAACACAATTGAAAGGTGCCGGCGTATCTCGGTAAATAGTCTGCTGAAGGGGGATTCCTTTTGGGTCCCCAACGATGGCGTTTGGGGGCACAGCACCGGATTGATAAGGGCTTTCACCTACATGATACTGTTGAGGCATCGGCGCTTGGTACGCCGCGTTGTAAGGGATGCCGATCGCAGGTTCCTCGGTCTTCGAAGATTTCTCCATAACAACAAGATTCGATTTTTCAGAGGTGGGTTTTAAGATTTACGATGAATCAGGATTGAATGAATAATTGGGAAATTCTTCTCTTGACGAAGACGATATATACATGGTTACTCGGGAGGCTTGGCCGGTCTATTACAAATTACACGTGGTGTGATTTCATTGGTGAATTAAGTCGCAGGGCCCACTGCTTTTCCTTTGCTTTTTAATATAATACTCGAATGTTATATTGTTCAACACGCAGAAACGAAATTTTTTTGAAGCTTCTTATTTTGGTTGAACCTTCAAACTCGCTTATCAAAATCTTCTAGAATTTCAATTTATGAATTAAAGGGCAGAGGAATGTGTTGACCACAAATTTTGTTCATTTTACGTGGTCAACAAATCCTAGAACTCATTTTGTCCACATAAGCTTAATTTTTGTACACTTGAACAAACCGTTAATCACATGTAGCCTCATTCGGTGGGAGTGAAGTTGGCTGTGCGTATTTCGACGGTCAAGTCAATTGGGAACGTAAATATATGTGTGGGCGAGCTTTAGACGTGAGCCTCTAATATAAAAAAAGGGGTCGATCTTGGGGAGTGATAGATAAAACAGTGTTATGACAAAATTATAGTTTAAGAGTCTAAACTTTCATTACTCTTAAAATGACATTAAGTGAGTTTTTATAATAGAAAAAGGTGAATGGGAGTCGTTGGATGAAGATGCATGTGGCCTCATTTGTGCGGCTGATGCTTCTTATTGGAGATATCAATCAATCATAAATATTAAATACTAATATCATTTTACCATCCATAATGCCTAGCTTTTGACTTTTGACTTGACCTGATAGAATGAACATAATGGCGGTAGATAGGGGTGGGCAAAACCCGTCCGAACCCACCCGAACCATTCAAACTGAACCAACCCGACCGGGTTGGGTTGGTTTTTTTGTTGTTTTAACACAAGTTGGGTGGGTGGGCTTTGTAGGCGGGTGGGTTGGGTTGAGTCAAGTTATGAGTTAACTCATGAAAACCCAATAAGCCTGCCAAACCCAACCTAACCCAACCCATCACTTTAAAAAAATAGAAAAAGAAAAGAAATAAAATGCATAGAAAAGTAAAAGAAACCTAAAAAGTATAAGTAGATAGTGTAATTGTAATTACCTTAGTGTAGTTTAGAAGAGAAGCTTACTGTTCTTCCCACAAGAAATATAGTATAAGTTTTCCATGTTATGTTAAATGCACTTTGTTCTTTTTAGGCTCGACTAATGAGGATTGAATAAGATAATAGATGATTTTATTTATTTGTTTACTTACTTACAATTTAATCTTATCTATTCGAATTTAGTATAATAGAAAATTAGATGATTTTAATTTTTGTTGACAAGTTGTCACAAACCGACAAATCCAACCCAACTCGATCGATACTTGATTGAGTTGGGTTGGGTTTCACCCTTTAGACGGGTTGAGTTGGGTTAAATTTTGATCAAATTGATCATGTTGGGTTGGTTTGGGTTGATACAAAAACCGACCCAACCCAACCCAACCTATGCCCACGAATAGCGATAGAGGTAGTAGTGTATTGTCACATTAATTACATACCAAAAATCGCCTAAAAGATCTTGTGCTGAACTCCTTTTGTGGCATTACCTGCCACGTAGTTCGGTTCTTCCCTGTGGGGTCAAATTAATCTAATGGGGTTGGTAAACATATTAGTTCGGCCAGCTCGAAGGGGTTCGGTTAGAACCACGTGATACTTTAACGTGGTGAGTGGCCGATGCATGCTTGCCTCGTAAAATATTTGGAGGCCTTATGAAGTGATGCGTAACAATAATCCATGAAATTCATGTATGGTTATTTATATAATGTATAGACTTTTAAGTTGAGGGTTTCCCATTTTTTGTGAAGAAAAAGTAGCGTATCCTAATAGTTCCCGAAGGTCGTGTATGATTTTTCATATAATGTGTGGATTTTTAAGTTGAGATGTGATATTGTGTGACCTTATTAAAGAGGATGAACCTATTGATGCAGATGAAGCCTGTTGTAAGGCTGAATTAAGCGAATGTGATGCCCTTGGTAAAGAAGGTTAGCATGTTGATGTGGGTGAGGCTTGTTGTAAGGCTGAATTAAGCGAAAGTAAGGCCCTTACTAGAAAGGCAAGCTTGTTCATGCAGATAAAGCATGCTTTAAGGCTAAATGAAATGAAGGCGATGCCCTTGCTAAAGAATGTGAGCTTGTTGATGTAGACGAACTCAGCTGTAAGGCCGAATTAAGCGAAGGAAAAGCCCTTAATAAAGAGGGTAGCCTGTTGATGTAGGTGAGGCCTGCTGTAAGGCTAAATTAAGTTAAGGTGAGGCCTTTGCTAGAGATGGAAAGCTTATTGATGCAGATAAAGCCAGCTGTAAGGCCGAATTAAGCAAAGACGAGGCCCTTGATAGAGAGGGCAAGTCTATTGATGTAGATGAAGCCTGCTGTAAAGTTGTATTAAGTGAAGGTGAGGCCTTTACTACAGAGGGCTCGCTTATTGATGTAGATGAAGCCTGCTGTAAGGCTGACTTAAGCGAAGGCGAGGCCCTTGGTAAAGAAGGCGAGCTTGTTGATGTAGATGAAGCTTGTTGTAAGGTTGAATTAAGTGTAGGCGAGGCCCTTACTAGAGAGAACAAGTCTATTGTAGATGTAGACGAATTCAGCTGTAAGGCTGAATTATGTGAAGGCAAAGCCCTTAATAAAGAGGGTGAGCCTGTTGATGTAGGTGAGGCCTGCTGTAAGGCTGAATTAAGTTAAGGTGGGGCCCTTGCTAGAGTTGGAAAGCTTATTGATGTAGATAAAGCCAGCTGTAAGGCTGAATTAAGCAAAGACGAGACCCTTGATAGAAAGGGCAAGTCTATTGATGTAGATGAAGCCTTCTATAAAGCTGTATTAAGTGAAGGTGAGGCCTTTACTATAGAGGGCGAGCATGTTGATGTAAGTGAAACTTGTTGTAAAACTGAATGAAATGAAGTCGAGGCCCTTACTAAATAAGGGTCGCTTATTGATGTAGATGAAGCCTCCTGCAAAGCTGAATTAAGCGAAGGAGAGGCCCTTGGTAAATAAGGCGAACTTGTTGATGTAGATGAAGCTTGTTGTAAGGTTGAATTAATGTAGGCGAGGCCCTTGCTAGAGAGAAAAAGTATATTGATGCAGATGTTAACGGGACGATTGTTACAATGATTTGGAAACATCTCATATTTCCAAGATACGATAGCGGAGCAGTTTAGGGTTTTCAATACGCGTATTGTGTGCGCATTTATGACACTATGAAGGTGGTCAGTTACAACTGGCAGGGGTTACGCATTCGTCGGGTGCATGTTCTGCACGCATGTTCATTCAATTTCAAGCATGTGACTTTTGGTTTTTAACGTGTAGGATGGGAGTACAGTTGCACGTCTGGGGTTTTGTTGGAGCCGATCCAACAGTGTTGCTTTATTTTTTCTGCCTATAAGAGAGGGGACTTAACCATTGTAAAAATTCCCAAACGCTTGAAATTTTTTTTTGAGATCTCCGGCCATCTTTGCTATATTTCCAGTGACTACTTGCATTCAGACCTTCAGCGTGTGTTCGTGACCTGTGTAAGTGAGAACCTTGTCTCCTTTCACTTTAGTTGCCTAAAACAACTATCCAATGGCTTCATCTTCGAAGAAAAATACCAAAGGGGGGTTTACTAATAGAGTGGATATGGCGCTTATTTGCAGCAAGGCTGGTTTGCCTCCACTAATCCCTACTGAAAGGATAATGGAGGCAATAGGGGGCCACATAGTGCATGACTGATGCAAAAGGTCCTATAGATTACAGTGTGAGGTTGGGGCTTTTTTATGGCCGAACTGTGTGGAGGAGAGTAAATGAAGACCTTTAGATAGCGGTATAGGATCCTAGAAATCGTTGAAATGTTCATCCCCACACCTGATAAGATAGCCTGTTTTCCCCGGGGGGGAGGGGGGGTTTGTTATCGTGAGTGAGGTGATCTTGAGTGCTGGGATGAAGCTACCTTTGGACCCTTTTTTCAGATATATACTTAGGCAGTATAACTTAACTCTTGCCCAGCTAGTACATAATGCATTGAGCCAACGGGCATGGGCCTTTTTCTTTGGAAGGAGGTCACTCTTGGCGAGGATATGCCTCTACATGTTTTTCAAACCTTTTTTCAGCCCTGAGCCTCTAGTAGGGGGAGGATTGTAAGGGGTGATACTGCATGAATCCATGGGGTCCACATTCGCCCTTCATCTGTGGTACTCCTACCTTAAAGAATATGTCAAGCTAGATATGTTCTTCATGAGGCGCCTAGGGAAGGCGAAGAAAAAAATCATCGAGCACCAGCTCTTCCACATATAAAAATCAAAGGGATGAACTGTCCCATCTATCGAAAATGGAGAAGGTCGTATAGAATGAAGTCTTTGGAAGGATGGCTGAGCTGTATCCCCAAGTGCACTTGGCATCTGTGAATGAGGAGTTCCTCCTAACAGAGCCATTCACTCCAATAGATGATGCTGAAAGTTTTGCTGATGAGGGAGAGAGCCAAACGGAGCCTCAGCAGGATGGAGTAGCTACATAGACTTAGTCTTTTAATTTCTTTCTGCTTTGTTCTTATGTAGCTTCCATCTGTAATTAGTTCATCTCATGTATATAGAGAATCTTTCTTATTTGGTTGTTTCACGTTTCCTTGATACAAGTGTTAGAATTTTGATGGATGATAAGAATTGGCTGATCTTCTTTTAATAATCAAGCCACAATTAACTTAATAACTCGGATCTTTAAGAAGCAAACACATGCTTGTTTTTCCAGATCAAAATAGTATGATAACTCTGAATAGCTTCATAACAATTTGGCAAATCGATGATTTTGCATTAGGCTTGAGCATAAACTCATACTAAAAAATGGGTCACCTTTTAATGTAATCTTCATATGGGCTCGCCATAATTAAGTTTAATGTAACCTTAATGCAATCTTCATATGGGGGTCGTCAAGGTTTAATATGGCCTTGCATA